CGTTGGGGTTCGGAATTAGAGCTCCGATGAGCTGTGATAGTGAAAACACATGTTCTGAGTTCCTACAAGAGTGTGAAGATCATCACGAGCATGATGTGTTGGTCGTCACGTATCTGACGGTCGTCAGCATCATTGACACGGAGACCGTCATGGTCTCTAGGAAGGAATTTCCTGTCGGTCGTCATGGGGATGACGGGTTGTGAGGAGAGATAGATGGCGGGCTGTGAGGAGAGACGAATGATGGGCTGGGTGACAGTCGTCACCCTAGTGACGGGCCGCCTATCATGACCATCAGAGACCGGTTTTGAGCAATCGATCCAGTTTTCCAATGTTGTTTTTACGTACAACTGATGTTTAGTTGTTGTTTGAGGTGTTTTGTTGAGATTAATTATGGAATGAATAATATAATTACTTAATTTACATTTGAGTTAATTGCATAATTATAAGTGGTGGGTTATGATTATATTTGTAAATTGTGATGTTGTGAATATAATTATGTATTATGGATGCAATTATATGCATTGTGTTGAGGTGTGTAGTTCGAATTAGGAACTACTGTGAATGTCTTATGGAATGTTATTTATGGTTAGAAGTGGAACCATAAGTTTTGTTTGCATTATTTGTATGTCATGTATCATACATGTCAGTGTTGCAAGAGGTGTGTCACGAGTTCCGAAGTGAGGACCAGTGATAAGTCTTGGGTTTAAAAGTGGGGACTCGGGGTTCAGAAGTGGGGAACCAGTTCAAATTAGGAACCATTGTTAAGTGGACGAACAAACCTCTAATGTCCAAATTGATATCACTTGCATTGAGTCGAGTTGTGAGTCACATTACATCCATAAATGCTTTGTGAATTAGTTGTGGTGTGCAAATGATTAATGTGGGATTGATGATTGTGATGAATATGCTACCCTTGCATTATCTTACACCATTAATATATTTAAGCATATTCTCACCCCTCTATTGTTTGTTTTGTGTTATTTTGTACAATGTGGTACAAATACTTAGGAGGAGTAAATATTGTTGTGAGTTGGAAGATGGCCTTGACACTCTCTTTATTTATTTATTTATTTATTTATTTATTTATGCTTTATCTTGTTTAGTTAGATTATTGTTCGGATCTGCAACATCTGATAACAAGTCATTTAATTATTTGAGTTAATGTTTGGATTATACCATTTTTATTAAGTATTTCAATTTGAAGAGATAAATTGAAGTGTGTGTTATTTATTGAGTTCCACTACGAGTTTTTGCAATTATTTGGAAAGAATATGCATGTTTGATATGAGTAACATCATAAAATGAGTGTTTAATTCTTTTAAATTAAGAGTAAGATTTTAAGGTGTTACATTCCACCGGAAGAGGAGTGAGATGCAAAGTTTTTGTAGCTTCAATAGCTACTGCATCAACTTGTCATTGAACGACAAATCGAGTGACTTTGGATGTCACCATGCATGATGAATATGATAATAGTTCCGTTTGAGGAGGGGATTAGAACTTCAAGAAAGAAGATTAGTGATATGGATATTTGGTGGAGAAATAACTGGTTTTTATAGAAATTAGCGGAAATCAGGAGTCGATTTTCATAGACGGCACCACTGTTTAGTTAGGAACTAGGAAGTAAGTATGTGGTGGATTTTTCCTCTCACAACGGTTGAGCAATATTTTTGAAGTGTCAGAGCAGAACGAACGAGAAATGTTAGCACTCAATGTTAAGACAGTGAGAGAAAATGAGGAATGATGTGTGAATAAGAATGAATTTGAATACTCGAAGTGACGCGCTTTACCCTTACATATCAAGAACGGTTGAAAACCATTCACGTGTGACATGGTGTGTTGTGCGAACAACCATGTGATTGAATTAGATGTTGATTGAAGCGTTGACTAGAAAATTACGTACTTTTGACTCCACAAAGGTCTATCTGTAATACGCCTCTTTTAACTTGAAGTTTGCTCCTGAGCCTTTTGTTACGTGTCTTGCGAACGATCCAAAACACCGACAAATTACTGTTAAATCATTTCCATTAATCAAACAACAAAAAATCATAGTTACAACAACAACACTTTATAACTTTATTCAAATATGTGATATTGTACATGAAGATTTTAACAAATGTCATCACATTCATAAATATACGACTGATAACATTGACGAAAAAATATTAAATGAAAATTTAAGTTCATATATAACCCATAAAGAGTATAAAGTGGAGGTTATACGAACAAAGTTAAAAATTAAATAACTATTTGATTGACTGAAAATATAAAGCATTTAAGTTTATGATAATTTATTTTCTAATTAAGAAATATTTACAATCTTTGATGTTATTTATAATATCATTAAACTTTCTTTATATTATTTATTTTTTATTAAACATATTGTGAAATATTTTTTATCTGATAACTTATGAATTTTTATTCACTTGTATTTCTTAATTTGATTTATTTATTTATGTCATATATTATCCTAAGAGTTTAAATTATTAAAAATATATTTTACCATTCAACTTTTAGCTTAAAAATAACTTTGAAGTTTAAAAAGTAACCATTATCAAACAACTCTAACTTTACTTCTGAAGTCCTTATTTTTAACTTTACCTTTCAAATAAGCTAAATAACTTCCATGACTAACTGTTAGGCCAAATATAACCTTACACAAGTAAATTAATAGTACGTACTCTAGCTTATACGGATTTTCTGCAATAGCAATTATTTATTGATATGCAATGGAAAATTGCTTTTTATGAAAAAGAAATTAAAACGCTTAACATAAAAAGTAAAAGCTCAAGTTTTAACGTTATTTATTTTAAAAGTTATTTATTTACCATTTAAGGAAAATCCGAAGTGTTTAATGCATATGTATCATTTATCAATATAAGATTATATATTTAAAATGTTATTTTAGTTACCATAAAAGAAAACTCTCAACTATATCTACGATTAATATAAAATTATTTATATTAATAATTTTAATTACATTTTTTTTTTTAATTTAGGTATTTAGGTGAATTAGATTCTAGAATTCAACTACATGTTTTAATTTATCATATTATATTTGATGATTTTAAATAATAATACATAATTTATTATTATAATTTTTTTAAAGAAACTAAAATTATATTAACCATAAAAAAATCCTTCCATCACACGAAGTATTAGAAAAAGTATAAGAGTATAGTTACTACATCAACAAAATCAAAATGGATAGCCGACAAATCAAAAACCAACAATTATAAGACATCCATTAAACATTATAAATGATTCAACCTCCAACACTTGATAATACACAATGAACAATTATAAATAAGATTTCATCCACCAGAAAGAGTGAAGTTTAACTTTATCACCGATAGAAAGTAACGCTTGACTAATGTTCTGAAAAAGCCATTGATTCTGCACTTTCTAAGTGTTCCGCACAACTGCTATTTAAATGATGTGAAAGGTGTTACGACCTGATTTAGACCATCCTCCCAATGTCACAAAGTAATCATGATGCTTCAGAAGATGACCATGAGAAACCGACTTAAAACCTAATCAACCCGACATCATCGGCCAAATTTTACCATAAAAATCACATCTAACAAAAATATGATCCATGTCATCATGCTGACCACACTCTGCTATACAATACTGTTCTCAAGCACCAATAATATTACGCTTAACTAAATTATCCTTTGTCGGCAATTTATTACGATATAACCGCCAAACAAACAGATTAATCTTTAACGACACCGCCTTAGACCACCAAATGTGAGAGTCTTCGAGTTGATGAGAATCTTCCAACTTCGTCAAAAACTGATACACGATGCTCACATTATACCGCATTGAGGGATGAAGGTGCCACACAGAAGAATCATCAACCGAGTTTTGCAAAATAAAAAAATCCAAAAATCGACTACACCTCAACCAACTGCTCCTTCCACGCAAATCTTAAAGAACATATCTCTGCTACTGTAACACCCTTATACTCAGATAAGTCATAAACCTACGAAATCCAAACATTAACACTTCTCTCTCCAACCATGAATCCTTCCCGAACAGAGTGTTTGTCCTATCATGTATCGATCTCTTAATATTATTTATCGGTCATCCAGTCCCTTTCATTTTCTACCATTAAACAAACCAATCTTATTATTTTATATAAACACTCTCGTGTGAATGAATGTTTTATTTACTTAAATTAAACTACCAATATCAATTCTTTTAATTTCAAAATCAGACTAGACTTTCAAATTGGACCATAAAATAATCGACTTAGAGACACTATCTTTAACAGCAATACATTGGCCTTTTATTTACTCTCTTTCTTAATTAATAATTTAATCCTAATAACCACTTTAACATAGTACTCAACTAGTGCTGCTATTGATCGCAAATTACAATGGCTAAAAATATTTATAAACGGATATTATAATATTAGTATTATTATATTTTTGATTAGTTCACAGAGCTCCTAAAAAGATAGCGTGAAATATCATTAAATTCCCTAAAATACATTAATACATTAAACTGTAAAGTGTTATCCTTCTAATTAATCCAAAAGATTAAGATTACATTTATATATACATAAAACAATTATTGTAATAAAATATTTATAATTAATAATTAATTTTTTATTAATATTAAAAAAAAGAGTTTAATTGATATACACTAATAGTATAAAATAATTTTATATTAACATTCAATAAAAATCTAATAACTTATTATATTATTGAATTTTTTTAAAATTTTTCTTTAATTAAATAAATAATTATGATTAATTGACCGTGTAATTCAGTTTTCGAATACTTATCTTTAAATAAAAAAATAAATAAAATTGGAATGATGATGGAGCATACAGCGTTGCTAAAGACGGTAAAGTAAAAGGAAAGTGTATCTGAATTGAATTCGGTTATTGTTGGGTTGATCAAATCAAAGAAACTCCACTTTCTCTCTCTCTTAATCGCAACCAAACACCGTGTAGAGAGAGAAAGCGAAAATTCCGATAGATCATCGCTCCAATGGGTACGCTTCAATCATGGCGAAGAGCTTACGGCGCCATCAAAGACACTACCAAAGTTGGTCTCGCCCATGTCAATAGCGATTACGCGGTACCAATTTTATTCTTGATTCTTTTTGAATTTTTTCAATGGATGAATCAGTTTTTGATTTGAATTGATTTCTATTATTAGGATTTGGATGTTGCTATAGTCAAAGCCACTAATCACGTTGAGGTTCCACCCAAAGAGAGACACCTAAGAAGTGAGTGATTCTTATCTTTCAGATCCGAATTCTATGTTTTCGATTTCCGTTTTTGTGATTAACGGATCGTGAAATTTGAATTCTATTTTTTTTTTTTGTAGAAATTTTGTTTGCAACTTCTGCTGTTCGACCTAGGGCTGATGTTGCTTATTGCATTCATGCACTTTCTCGACGCCTTGCCAAGACACGAAATTGGACGGTAGTTACTTTACTTTTGTGATCAATTGCATCTTACAGTTTGATTTGATTTTCTACATTTCATGTTACAAATGAATGTGAATCTTACGGTTGTTTAATTTCTAATTCTAACAATATTTTGGAATTTCCTTTTTGGTTTTTACTTTGTATGTGTGTCTATGGTGGTTGAAGCAACTTCGGATTATGGATTTTCATTTCTGAATGGGAGAGAGGATGAAAGTTGAATGCATTTTTGAAAAAAATTAATTTGAATTTTTTTAATAATTTTCATAAATATTCAATCTATTTTTAAAATAAATTTTCAGAAACTTCCATAATGTGGTTTCCAATGTTTATTTTATCTGTGAAAATGATATTCAATCTATTTTTGAAATAAATTTTCAGAAACTTCCATAATGCTGTTTCCAATGTTTATTTTATCAGGGAAGATGAAAATAGGAAACACTTGAACCAAACAAGCCCTATGTTTTCTGAAATTCCCTTTTTAACTTGAGGCAGTGATATGTTTGGTTTATGGCATTTCATTTCAAAGAATAGTTTCTTACTATCAAATTCAATGTAAATTAGTGTTAGACATGTGTTTTGTATTATTAGATGAAGGATGTGAGTCTGATACTTTTTTTGACTTACAAGTAAGTAGTTGTATGGGACAGAATATTGGGCAGTTAAGAACTAACACGAGAATAAAGTTAGTGTAGCAGAGATGCGGATGTTGTGTTGGATGTGTGGTAAGACTAGACAAGATAAGATTAGAAATGAAAATATTAGAGTGTTGGGGTAGCACCACCTATAGTAGAGAAGATGGTGGATAATAAACTTGAGATGATTTGGGCATGTAGAGAGAAGACCTATAGATTTTGTGGTAAGGAGAGTAGATCAGATGGAGAGAAGTCAAACAATTAGAGGGAGAGGAAGACCTAGAAAGACCATAAGAGAAGTTATTAAGAAAGATTTCGAGATTAACGATTTGGATAGAAGCATGGTCCTAGATAGAACATTATGGCGCAAGTTGATCCATGTAGCCGACTCCACTTAGTGGGATAAAGCGTGATTGTTGTTGTCGTCGTCTGAGCATTTGGTTTGTGATAGCTTTAATACGCTTTTTAGTGGCCATATTTAATTATTTGTGGGCATGTATCTTTTTTAAATCTAGATCACATAGAAGAGCATATGGCTGCAACACATAGTCTTTAATTGGATGTATTCTAATAGACCTTAGTTGTCATTTGGTTTACCATTTGGGCAACTTAACTTGAACCTTTGAAACATACCATATTGTTTGTCGCTAAAAAATTGTTGTTTTGGTAATTAGTATATTAAACTTTTATAAATGTAATTTCAGAGCGAAGGAATATAATTATTATTTGATAATGATTGGTAACATTTGGCCTAGATGACACCAAATGGTGGAAGACTTTTGTATCAAGGATTCAGATCAGTTTTGATGAAGGATGTTTAGTGGATTGTCCACTTATTTGATAATTCCAGTTCATCTTGCTATTAAAAAAAGCCTCATTTTCCTTGCGTTCTGTTAAATGTATGCATTATATTTTAATTCACTAATTTAACATGTTATGGTGCTTTCATCTTCTGTTTTTCTCGCCAAAATAATATATTAGATGATCAAGCATTGTTTTGATGTCCGGCCTTCCTTTGCCTTGTTTGCAGGTGGCATTAAAAACACTGATAGTCATCCATAGGTTACTAAGGGAGGGAGATCCAACTCTTAGAGAGGAAATTGTGAATTTCTCACAGAGAGGACGGATTCTGCAACTTTCAAATTTTAAGGATGATTCTAGTCCAATCGGTTAATTTTTTGACCTTATAATCTTTATACGTTGTTGTTTACTGTTACTTGGTCTCAATTTGGGGTTTTCAACAGTTATTCTTTGAGTTAACATGTATAATTTGTCTGCTTGAACGATTTTATTTGCTTGCAGCCTGGGATTGTTCTGCCTGGGTACGTACCTATGCATTATTTTTGGAAGAAAGACTCGAATGCTTTCGGATTCTTAAGTATGATATTGAAGCTGAGCGTCTACCCAAAGCTTCCCAAGGACAGGAGAAGGTAATTCAATAACCAGTAACAAGTTATCGTACTCCTTTGTGATAATAGGTCTAGTTTCCAGTATGTAGCATATGATATTGTTTTTTGTGAATTGAAGAGTGTCTGTACGAAAAGGAATACTAAGCCTAACTTGAGTACTACATTTTTCCCTTCCATGGCTCCACTCATCCAATTTCTAGTGAAAATGTTGGTGTGTTTCAAATATGTGTTTGCACATCATCGCTATTATTTCAAATGCTTTCTGAAATTGGTTTTTCCCTTCCATCTGACAATAAACTCCTTTCGACAATTCTTGCACAGTACACTTTTTGAATATTAATTATTTAGATGCTCAACTATAACTGTTTCAATGGTCCTTGATCCTTCACATGTAATGCATCCTGTTGAACATTTGGCATATCTTTTACCCTTTAACGGTTTTAGCAGGAGGACTACCCTTTGTGTGTGTCTGTTTGTAAGGGATGTGAAGTCTTTGTATCTTCTTTAGTGTCATGGTGTTAGACTTATCAATACTGTAAACAACTTGATATTCTTTTTTCTCCCTTCAAAAGTTTTCTGACTTTTTCTTTCACCCAAGAGAAGTCCTAAAAGGACCCCATTAGAATTTTTAATTTGTAATTTGGTCCCTATATGCAAAAAAAAAAAGTTAGTTGGGTCACTCCTCCCGCCATGGTGATCTAACGCTCTAATAGCTATAACATATTTAAATACTTTTGAAATTATTAAAAAAAATTATAACATTTATTGATCTAAGTCTATGGATTTAATTTGAACTTTTTTTCAATTCAACATTTCACCAGTTACTTGTAGGAGTAGGACTCATATAACTTTATGTTTGTAGGTACTGTAAGAAAATAAATTGATTAGGTAGGAACTGAGGAAGAAGTTCAACATGACACTCTTATTTAACATTATTGGAAATGGCTATATTTCTTATATAAATGGGTCAGCATTGCTAAATGACACTCTTAAAAGTTTCTAAATGATTAATTGTGGTTTATTGTCTATCTTCATTTTTGTTGGCATTTAGCTTTCTTGATGTTTACTACCTCTGTTTTTTATTATAAGTCGTTTTGACAATTTCACACGTATTATGAAATATAGTTATTGTTATATGAGAATGAGATATTGTGTAGGATTTTAGAAAATTAGTCTTCATTAATGGTATAGAAAAGATAAATTAAAATAATGGAAAGAAGAGAATAATAAATAATTAAGGGTATAATAGGAAGGGCAACATTAATGATTCATATGTATTGTTAAATGACTTATAATTTAGTATAATTTATTTTTCTAAAGTGACTTCTAATAAAAATAGAGGGAGTACTATTTTTGTTTTCAAAAAGTCTTGATGTTTATTTTGTTTTTAAGCAGGGACACAGCAAGACCAGGGATTTAGATAGTGAGGAGCTATTGGAGCAGTTGCCTGCTTTGCAACAGCTGCTATATCGACTTGTTGGCTGTCGGGTAATAATGTGAAACATGACGATATTTATTATCTTTGTGTACTGTTTATAATCTCATCAGTACTGTACACATCAATTTGGTTTATATATTTTTTGTACTGCCTCTTTCTTCTTTTTGAGTATTTTCTTTTAGATGATAAAAACTGATCGTATGCTATGCTATGCATTTTACAGCCAGAAGGAGCAGCTGTTAGCAATTATGTGATACAATATGCTCTGGCTCTGGTATGTCTTCTAGTCTATTTATCTAATGACACTTTTGTATTAGGAGAGTCATTCTGAAATTACATATATGTATATAGGCGTGGCAGGACTGTTGGGGGATTCCGTGTTTTACTGAAACTTTATTGGTTTATCTTCCAATCTGTGTTTTAGAAACTGGACTAGAAGTCGAACAAATGACCTTTAGGTCATGGTTCAATTGTGAATTAATGGGTTTATAAATTTTAACTGGACTAGAACCACTTTGGAATGTCTCCAACCATTATATACATTTTCCCATTTAAGTGGGACTACAAATATCCTCCATATTAGGCTGTTGTTACGGTTGGAATTGGTTTCTAGATATGTCCATCTGATAATCTGCTTAGGATAGGGAGAGAAGTTAAATGATCCCTTCCCTTGCTTACAGTTATGAGTTTGGTATTGAGGTTATGATCACCTTTTTGATTAATGAGGCATTTTAAGTTTCATACCTATTTGTTATATTTGTAAATATTAACTAGTATAACTTGTATTAGAGGTATATAGTTTTTAAATTTGCTGTAGTTAGATGCACCTTAATCACTTAATTTTTTTGTTATGGATCTGGCTTTGGCTCATTCCAGGTACTGAAAGAGAGCTTTAAGATTTATTGTGCTATTAATGATGGCATTATCAATCTTGTTGACAAGGTAAATTGACTGATCCTTATCTATGTGATGACATTAAGTTGAAATAAAAGATGTTTTATGTTGGAAAGTGAATTTCCCCGTAGTTTTTTGAGATGCCAAGACATGAAGCTATTAAAGCCCTTGAAGCCTATAAACGTGCGGGACAACAGGTGATAATTTGTTTCTCTTTTGGTTAACCGCTAGGCTTTTACACTTTTAATTTCACAGTGCTTCTAAAATACCATTGCCAGGCAGCAAGCCTTTCTGATTTCTACGAGGTTTGCAAAGGATTGGAACTTGCTAGGAATTTTCAGTTTCCTGTCTTAAGAGAGGTAAGTCTAGTTATTTCAATTCCATGCATTGATTACGTGCTCTTCCTATTTCAATTTTATTATGGAGTTCCTATTGCTCTATCTATTGTTTTTCCTTTTAGCCCCCACAATCTTTTCTTACAACTATGGAAGAGTACATTAGGGAGGCACCCCGAGTGGTTTCAGTTCCAAATGAGCCAATGGTTAGTACATCATTTATTCTGTTCTACATAGAGCATTGCTTCCAAGAAATCAATTTACACTTTTCCTTGTAATATTAGTTTTACAACTTATAGACTAGTAATTTGTTTCTGTATCAACAGCTTCAGTTGACTTACAGACCAGACGAAGTTCTTGCAATTGAATACACCAAAGAGTCTGAAGAACAGATTCCATCAGAACCTGAACCTATTGATAATAATGTTGTTGTCCCCAATTCTGAGCCTGCTCCTCCCCCACCACCATCTCACAACAATTTTGACACTGGAGACTTGCTGGTAAATTACTTGATCCATACATATCCGCAGTTAATATTTTTAGGACTTTTCTAATTCCTTTCCTTAATGTAGGGATTGAATGACCCGGAACCTAATGCATCATCCATAGAGGAAAGAAACGCTCTTGCGCTGGCTATAGTCTCCACTGAAAATGGTGAGCTTTGTTTTTAGTTTTCTTCACAAACTTTGCTGCTCAACAAGGTTTAATGAATTGTTTTTATCATCTATGAAATGTGAGTGTTTTGTGAATTTAGGCACTGCATCAGCTTTTAACTCTAGTGCTGCTCAAACAAAAAATTTCGACCCTACTGGATGGGAGCTTGCCCTAGTTAGCACTCCAAGTACAGATATTTCTTCAGTCAATGAGAGACAATTGGTAGGACCTTCATGCAACCTTTATAGATCATTCTTATAATCCTAAATTACTGCACTATATGATTTCTATTGTATAATATTTTTATGCGGGCAAATATTGAATTTATTGTGGCATGCATAAACAACAAATATTGCATTGTTCTAGAAACTATTTGATGGCATAGGTTCATGATGCACTAGATTCTGGGTCAATGCATGCATAAATTTTTTCACAAATCTCTTTTTTTCCAGTCATTTGATCGGTGAACATTATTTTTTTATGATACCAAAAGGGTCCACATGTTAATATCACCATGTCTGATAAAAATAAGTGTAGACAGTCCGTAGTGATTGATTAGTACATCATAAATCCCTTAAATTCAGCTTTATTTATCATTCTATTTTTGTCATGGAATTTTAGGCTGGTGGACTGGACTCTCTCACTCTTAACAGCTTATATGATGAAGGAGCGTATAGAGCTGCACAGCAACCAGTTTATGGAGCACCAGCTCCAAATCCATTTGAAGTTCATGACCCATTTGCTGTATCAAGCAGCGTCGCTCCCCCCTCCGCTGTCCAAATGGCAGCCATGCAACAACAAGCAAATCCATTCGGTCCCTATCAGCAGTTTCCACCTCAGCCTCATCAGCAGCAGCATATGTTGATGGACCCAGCAAATCCCTTTGCTGATTCAGGATTTGGGACTTTTCATGCACATCCGGTTTCTCATCCACAGAATAACAATCCATTTGGAAGCACAGGCTTGTTGTAAGAAATAGAGATGCCCCTTTTTGGAGCTGTCATGTATTTAATCAATTGTGTTGGTTTTTTTGTACATTTAGAAGTGAGCAAGTTGTTTGTTACACGAGTTTACTCATCTTTTGCTAGATACTCATATTCGGGAATGGAAGGTGCCTTGTAAAATCAAAGATGTATTTCATCTTTCATGATATATGCATAATGGTGGGATCGCTTTCTTTAAATATCATTTTATGATTTAATACATGTTTATATTGTGTGAATGTACAGATAATGTGTTACATTTTTAATTGCTGCTTTGTTGGTTTTACTTGGTAATATTAAATTGTCATTGTCAATGGTTCAGATTCTATAAGAGCACTCGATTACCGTCATGGACTCAGAATGTGTCGGTTTTCGACAACTTCCGGAGAAAAAGAGGCATTCACTTATTACAGAGATGGTGCGATTTGATTATTATTATTATTTATTTTTTACCGATCTCAGTCTTAGGAGAAAGATACATTCTTCAGAGAGAAATAAAAAAATTTTGAAAAAAAAACCTACGCTTGTTGAAGGTGAAGTTTGGAAATAAAACGATTAATCCCTTCTGTCGTGTATTTCCGATTAATGAGTGTTTTTTAAACACCAACGTAAATTTTCAAAAATGTTTTCAAGAATCAGAAATGTATCTTCGATGCGCACCCTATTATATAACAAAAACATATAAATTGGAAGTATATTTACGGTTCTCAAATCGATGTTGTATTTCCGGTTATACTCTAAATAAAATTAAGAAAAAAATTGTGAGAAATCACACCCTATCACGTTGATATGAACCGGAAATGCAACACGTTCTAAATTGTAAGTGTATTTTTGGTTTGTCTTTTGACATATATCCGCGCTACCTTTTCCTCATTTGCTTCAAACATAAACAAAACAAAAAACGTCAATTCCAAAATACTTTGTTTCAAAATTCATCAATTTATCGCAACACATAAGCAAGACATGAGGCATAATCGGAATCAATCAAGGAGAATCAATCATTGTAAGCTGTTTTTGAGCATTATTGGGTTTTTTTTTTACATACAAATTGTGTTTTAGGGTAATAAAATGTATTTTTTTTTTAGTTCTTGCAATGTTTGAAGTCAATACAGAAGTGTTAGTCATGTCTTTTTGACAATCTAAGTTTGTTTTTTTGGTTTCTATTGGGCGTCAGCTTCGCCATTGACGTACCTGTTAAGTTGCAGGTCGTGTCAGAAGTATATTTTCGATTTTGTTCTTGACATACTTCCGATTTTGCAGCAGATAGTGTTTACCCTATTTTTTGTACAAGAGTGTTATTGTTTAATACTTTATTCGTTTATTCTACATGTATTATGACTGAGAGACAATCCAGATTGCGACACGAGAGACTTTCACAGCACGTTTTCGTGCGTAGGGAAAAGACTCAATCTTTTCAAGCTCATAGGTCGACTGTGTTGGATACTTCCACTTCGTCGACCAGCAGGCGAGAGTCTCATGTCCATCCATCTCCGTCTCCGTCCTTCCGCAGACGTACATCCTCACTGCAAGTATCCGGATCAGGAGAGACACCCAGATCCCACTCACCGGCTACACCACATTCAGTCCATACCTCTCCACCTTCTTCCTCTCACGAACGCCCTATGGTCTTTTGAGACATGAGAGTCTTCTTCATCCCAGTTGACACCTGCTCCCACCCAGTCTACACCGATTCTCACCCAGTAGACACCAGAAGCCACTCCCACAAAGCAGACACCAGAGGCCACCCAGTCTTCACTGACGATCCATTCAGAGGCAGCACCAGAGGCAACATCAGAGGTCCATCCACAGGAAGCACCATAGGCGCCTCGGGCCTTCGGAATAGGACCTTCTGATTTGTCATTACTGTCGTTGTATCTGGACCATGTTGTCAGACATTTATGGGACAAAGAGGTAAATATTTCATTTAACAATTATTACGTATTGTGTTACCTTTTTTTTGCTAAATATTATGTTCATTTAAGTATTGGGTGTTTATCTATGCATGCAGGACCGCGATCCACTCAAGATAATTAACCATGCTAGGAAGATCACTCGCCTGGTATCACCCGTTGAGCCATGGTTCCGAGAGCTGTTGCACATCACTAGGCTGCGTGATTTGGTCTTATGTGGATATACTACCATTAATCATGGTATGATTAACGTTTTTGTTGAGAGATGACATCACGAGACATCGTCGTTCCACCTACCACATGGTGAGATGACAATCACATTGGTCGATGTCGCGTGTCTGTTGCACCTTCCGATTAGAGGAAGGTTTTTAGATCATGAGAGGTGCACCAAAGAGGAGGCTCTAGGTATGTTGGTGGAGTACTTAGGAGTTACTCTAGAGGGTGCTATGGCTGAGATCGATAAAAGTTGTGGGTGTCATGTCAGATTTAGATACTTGCAGAAGGTGTTCACAACTGAGCTAGGGCGTGCACGACAGGCTGCTGATGATGATGTACAGGTAGCCCAACACAGAGCACGTGTTATGAGAGCATATCTTTTTTATCTGGTTGGTATACATATTTTTGTGTACATTAGTGCCACTTACATTGATATCATGTAGTTGTGGTTCTTTAACGATTTTGAGCGGATCACTGAGTAGAACTAGGGGGCAGCTTTCCCGATAGCATCACACTTTTTATGATAATATTTCTTATTCTTATGTTATTTTTGTCTTGTTATGTAAATTACTTTGATGTCGTTACTTACTAATGAAGATGACATTTTAGGCCTAGATTCTACAACACTTCCCTCACATAACTGGATGGTCACTTGAGCCTGCATATACTGAGGTTCAGTCACATGCCGCTTCATTCAACCCACTCTGATAGAACCGGGCGACATAGGCATTCAAGGTGTATATGGATTGTCTGACCTATGAGGCTCACCTTGAGATAATTACCTTTGACGATATTGTGTTGTTCATTGGGTGGTTGGCAAGTGGGACGCGCAAGACGGCTGCTTATTTTCCTGAGCGTGTGATGCGGCAGTTCAGATACATGCAACACATTCCTAAACCACCCTCTGAGTGTGCCCCTCCCATGGTGAAACAGAGGGATATGTATGACATATTTGATGATTATCTTAACCATCTCGTGCCGGATGAGGCCTGGAGTACCATAGGAGCAAAAGATTGGAGCTATGAGGATGGTTATATCTTATGGTTCTTCAAGGTGTCACATCCATATCTGGTACAGGAGGCTCCAGGTAACCCATCTAGACCAGCACATGCAGAGATTCTAGAGGAGGAGCATGCACATGCCGATCATGCCACTGATGTGTTGCCTATGTGTCGTTGTATCATGCAGATCGCACAAGTGGGTATTGATATGGGTTTGTTTCCTGATGACTCTGATGTTAGAGGTGTTCTAGATGCCATCATGGAGGAGACTGAAGAGGTTCTGTGTTACATACCGCAACAGAGGAATGTGGCGAATATCATAGACCGACTCATTATCCTCCATACTCAGTATTCTGATAGTTTTAGTTGCATTTTTGTTTATAGTACTATTATGTTTTTCATATTTTGGATTATTTGGATAACACTTTAAGGAATATTTTGCGTATCTTATTTTGGAACATAATATTTATGAGTATTTGTACGTATTTTGTGATTACTTCATATTTAATCGAAATCGTATTTTGTTACATATTTTACTACGTATTTATTCATCAAAACATGCATAAAAACATGGTATGAACTGTTTGTATAGGAACCGAAAATGCATATGCGGTTCCAAACCGTAGTTGCATTTCCGGTTTCATACTTATGTTTTCAAAAAAAAAAGGTGCGTCCTGGAAATATATTTCCAAAGGACATTTTTTGTTTTACATAGGATATTTTTCCCCTATATAAGATGCCATAAGAAATTCTCTTGACTTTTTCCCCATAGACATCGAGGAAGGGGTTGGGTATGGCGTACTAATTGTCAACAACATAGAACGTGCTACCTCGATTATTATTGCAAATATAAAACACGGTTTAATTTAATAAAGATATAAAATACACGTCTACAGATAGCTAGACTAACAAGGATCATCTGACAATCACTAGCGAAATGTCCATTTAACTCGCAGACCTCACAATAGAGGACCGTTGGGGTGGCAGGAGCTACAAAAGCTACAATTATGGGCACAGATTATGTTATGCTCAAATTTTTCAATTTTTTGGTAGAGTGTGTCTACCTTGGCGTTCATGTGATCAAACAAACTTACTTCGTAAAACCCATCCTTTTGAGGGGGCTTTACTAATTTTTTTCTCGATCGCTACCCCATGAATGATGTTTTTTTTCTCCATGTACTCAATCAAGCTATAAGCCACATCTTGTGGGCTATTCATGAGCACGCCACTGACAACCACATCTAAAGTCATCCTCATGTAGTAGGGGAGACCATTGTAAAAAGCGGGTATTATCATCCATTTTTCTAGCCCATGCAACAGACACAATCCTAACAGATATTTGAAATGCTCCCAAGCATCAAAGAGAGACTCTCATTCTTCTTGTCTAAAGTTATTAATTTCACTTCTCACTTGAGTAGTCTTGCTCGGCACAACCCTTAATTTTGCCATGTAGTTATGGAATTAGCAGATAAAGATTTGAGCCACGCCCGGGCTTGGTCTCTTAATGAGAAAGGGAACAATATGAGTTGAATGTAATTTTGATCAACACCATTGGATTTTAAGGTGCCACAAAACTCAACAAAGATGGACATATGAAGGTTAGTATTATCTGTAGGTAACCCTGAGATTTGGTTGTGCTGAACCATTCCCACCATCAAGGGCTTAATTTCAAAGTTATTTGCCGCGATGGGTGGATGAACAATACTATTATGTGGTTACTCATCACTGGGAACCGCGTACTCTTTCAGTGGTTTGGTATCTATTATCTATTCATTCATTTCTCTAAGAATTTGGTGTCTCTGTGCCAGAAATGCTCGATTATGTTCAGAGTTCATAAAGATTTCCCAGAGGTCGGGTTCTTC